CATATTTTCTCTCAGGTTGACTGAGTAGCATTACAAATGAAACATCCAGACACTGCACCTGCCAAGTACAGACTTTATATAGCATCTATTGTTTCTACGACATCCAGACACAGAATGCAATAGTTTCTGTACTTTTTCAGATGCATTGCTGGAACCCCTAGGATTACAGCTAGTTGGCCCTTTTGATATTCTGGCTGGTAAATTCAAGAAACACAAAGGAAAGAGACCGTGTTATGTATTGCATTGGAGGTATTATTATGATCCACCTGAATTTATGACTGTTATTAAAGGTGATGACACAAGTCAATATCATTTGGGATATTATCGAGACGATCCAAGTGAAATGCCAGCATTTGTAGCCTCTAATTCAGCTAATAAGAATTCAGTTTTAGCCAAGGAAGCTGAAAACCTTTTTGGTGCTGTCAAGTAAGTTGAGTGGAAATCAATTAATAATTTTCACAGATATATTTGCTGTCTTGTACATATTTCATGTTTTACATGTTATCCAGTCATGTACATATTTGGTATTGTACATGTTGCAGTCATGTACTTAATTATTGTACTTACCGCCAAAATAAAACTGATCATGAAAACCAAAATAAACTGATGATAAACTGAAAACCACTATCTTCTTATCAATTTACCCTGGTACAATGAATTATACCAAATTGTACCTTTGAATATTTCATCAAATTAGTACATTCGGATTTGTAAAAAAGTTTTCACAGAGAAACAACTTCCACAAAATCCACTAATCACAGATTAAGTAATTTAAAAATATTGCGCTTGTAATGAGCATGTGTTATATTCACTCATATTGATATTCAGTCATATTTACAGCCATAAATTAAATTTTCATTCTCAACATATAACATGTTTGTAAAACAAAAAACACCGTAAAAACTCCAAAATTTCAACCCCTCTAAAACTTCGTTCGCTTAATTATTTGCCGGGTTTTTATTTTACCTACAAATTTTCGACTCAACTAAAAATTGCCGACTCATTCTTATTCGAAAATTGCGACCAGTTTTGGTTTTCCCCCAAACAAAAGAAAAACAAACGATGTGAGCTTTCAAACGGGACTTTGACCGAAGGCATGAATCCGGGTTTCTGATTGACTGAGAGATTTTTATTTTATTGGTAACGAAAATATATTCTCAATAAACGAAGTTTCAAATAAAAACGAACACAAAAATCTCGGCATGCTGCGTTTCTGAATTGTTGATTATTACTCAGTAGTGATTATAATAATGTACACAAAATAAATTCGGTGAATTGTTATGAAATACAAATAAAAGTCAACTTAGTTTCGTCGTAAGCGAATGATTCTGGTCTCGTATAAACGTTTGATGCTGTAGGATATCCGCCATGTTCTCTTAGGTCAAATAGATCAAATCGCTAATTAACCAATCAAAAAGCTGGATGATGCCAGCGTGTTCAAATTACCATAGCTTATTTAAATATGTTAAT